TGACCTCGTAATGCTAAGTAGTCGTAACTATTGTAGCCTAATTGTTGTGATAAACTTATTAAATAGTTTCATATACTATGATGACGGAGACACGTGGACGCTTGAAGAGTGCTCAAAATTCACCGTATACGTCCTGCAACGCAGCCGTGAAGAAGCAAGACGAAGGAGTGCAATGCGATAGATGTGGCGAGTGGTGGCATCGGGCGTGTACGGACATCCCGCAGCAGATTTACGACCATCTATCATCGGTTCGTGGGATTATGTGGGCCTGTGCGAACTGCCTTGACAATGCCAAGACAGCAATGAAGACGTCCATTCGAGATAAGTCTATTGAAACTTCTCTAGAATCTATCAAAACTGAAGTCATCAATCTTAAAGCAGCTATTGTATCCACTGATACTAAGACAACTGTAAATGGCCACACAGCAACGCTGTTACACCTGATGATCAAAGTAAAATGGGAATAAGAATAAATGGCGTGCCTGAACCTTCCAACCAGAAATTGCATGACAGAATGGATTCACATATTCAAGCAGTCACAAAAGTTAATGGAGTATTTGGGAGAGCCTGTCAATGAGCCTATAACTGATTCCTTTTGGCTGGTAAAGTATCGATCTGATGCTACCAGGCCGAGAACCTTGCTGGTGAGGTTTAAGAATCCATGGCTGGTTTGTAAGTTGCTGGCTAAATCGTATATCTTGAAAAATTATTCTGATCGCATCTACTTATCCAGAGAGCTTACTGTTGACGAAAAGAAATTGGAGTCGCGTATTCTTTCTGAACGTTATAAACTTGTCGAAACCGGTATCTCAAAGGATAGACTGAGAGTTAGAGATTTAAAATTGTATCTGGATGGCAAAGAACATGTGTTTTGACTAGCCAACCGCAAAATTACTCTCTGTTTGCTGAATGCCCGTTCATTGAAACAACATAATGCCATTTATGAACTACAATGTGATGCCAGTTATCATGGATTTGATATTATCTGTATAACTGAGTCTTGGTTAACCACGGACTTTGATAATTCGTTTATTGCTATTCCTGGGTATAAGATATTTAGGAAAGACCGCAGTTCGTTGAACTCAAACAAAACCACAGGCGGCGGTGTCTGTATTTTTGTTCGTGAAGGTATTGTCAGTTATCGGTAGATCTGTCATCATTCTGATCAGTATGAAATTCTGTGGCTGTCAGTTAGCGTAGGAAATAAATATTTGTTGGTCTGTTCGGTTTATTTCCCACCTGATGCTACGTATGCCCGTCAGCTAGAAATGCATATCTCACATTCCATCAATGTCTTCAGGGACCAGAACACATCGTCAAATATTGTAATCTGTGGGGATTTCAATAACTTGGATACTGACGACCTCGTATTAGATTGCGGTCTTTACGATGTTTGTACGGAAACCACACGCGGGAATAATAGACTTGACAAAATATTGTGTTCGGATTTTCTCGTGTCGAGTTGTTATTGAAGAAACATTGAAGGAAGAGGCGGAGTCGAAACGGAAAGCGAAAAACGTCATTGTCTGGGGAGTCAAAAAGGCTGACGAACCGAAGGACAAAGAATTCATGCTGCAGCTGAGTGCAGACTTAGGAACAGATATTGAAGTTACTAGTACAAAACGAATTGGTAAAGCGAACGAAAATGGAGAACAGTTGATACTTGTCTCTTTGACATCAGAGCTGCAAGCTCAAAACATCCTGAAACTGGCAAAAAAACTCAAGGAGTTCGAACATTACACAAATATTTACATCATTAAAGACCTGACAAAAAGCCAACAGCTTGAAAACAAAAAACTCAGAGAAGAATTGAAAGCTGTGCGACGGGAAGATCCCGATGGGGTTTTTTTTTATCAAGCACAACCGAGTTACAAAGAAATATTGACTATCGGCACTGCTTTGGAACGTGGAGGGGCTGGAAACTTCACTTGAATTACAACCGAATGATTTTGTCACATCCCACGACTTTTTACTGTTAACAGAGACTATGGACGTAAAGGACACAGAAATAACTGGTTTAACTTGTTATTCTTCGGCAGCAGTTAGTCATGATGTGGGAAGACCGTCAGGCGGTATCGCTTTTGCGATCAATAAAAACATTCAATCAAATAGCTGCATCATTTTTAGATCCCAACACGTTCTTATTGTGAAAGTCAAAAACTGCAAAATGAACTTTTTGGTATCGTATTTTCAACCTTGTACAAAACTAGAGGATATCATTTTTAACATATCCGAAGGACTATTCAGAATCGACAAGGAAGAGCTTACGATCATTGCAGGAGATTTTAACTGTCGCCTGGATCGGGGCGAAAGAGGCAATGACTTATTGGATATCTTATGGGAATTAGGGTTTGCTCGTCTCAATAGCTCCCAGGCACCAACATACTACTGCCATAATGGCCGCAGTGCCATTGATTTAGTGTTTACAAACAACCTACAACTAACTTCAGACAATGTGACTATCACAGAAAATTCTGCTACAAAGCACTGCACCGTTGGATTTAAAGTTCACACCGACGTTGAAAGAGCTGACAGTAAGACTGCTCATATCAGAAAAATCGATCTGGAAAAGCTAGAATACAAACTTAAAATCCTCAGCACGCCGTGTGTTGAGTCGTTGGATCGATGGTACGGAAACTTCATCTCGGCATTTAGAGAGTCAGTTCCAGCTGCCAAAAAACGGATCTCGAAGGTCTGGTTCGACAGAAGCTGTTATTTGCTCCACGCAAAAATGAAAAAACAATGGGATCTCTGCAGAAGATAAGCAAATACAGAAAATCTTCGTGTGTTTGCATGTTACAAAAAAGAATTCAAAAAATTATGCCAATCTAAGAAACAGTCTCATGAGAAAACGAAAGAGGAACTTACCCTCAGCGTAGCAGAGTCTGACAAATCTCAGTTTTGGAACATACTTAAGACCAGAAAACCACCGATCGCGCATTGCGCTGTCAGTTCTGACACCTGGTTCGATCACTTTGATAAACTTCAGAATGTTCCGTTATCGTACAACTTTTATCCTGAGAATGCTGAAATTACTGGTTTTCATGATTATCAAACTTCATTGAGCGAACGAATAGCCGAAATGAGCAGTGAAAAAAAATTAGCAGAAATAACACGTGTAGTAGCCAACTCACCCAATAAAAAAGCTGCTGGTCCCGACGGTATCACTAACGAAGTCTTGAAATCTTCTCTTGGGTTAGTATTTTCATTCCTTGTTACAATATTCAATATTTGTTTTACTAATGCTACATGTCCTGTTGTATGGCGAGATGCTTACTTAAAACCACTCTACAAAGAAAAAGGCGAAAAAACGGATCCAAATTCATATAGAGGTATATCTTTGCTTTCTTGTGTTTACAAATGTTATTCTGCTATTCTATATAATCGGTTAAGTAACTGGCTTGAACTTCAAAAGTTACTTCCTGATACGCAGTATGGGTTTTGAAGGGGTAGGAGCACCATACTTGCCGCGAAAAAGCTAATTGAGTCAATTAGAACAGGAATCCGTTCTAAGAAAAGGTATTACGTCTGCTATGTTGACTTCGAGAAGGCTTTTGACAAGTTTGACAGACAACTTCTATTCACCAAGCTTCAGAAAAATGGCCTCCCTGAACACTTCACTAAAGTTCTGTACAATCTTTATGTTCAAAATAATATCCAAGTATGCTCGGATGGGTATTTGTCCACCAAAATATCTCAGACTATTGGCGTTCCACAAGGCGATAAGTTGTCACGCTGTTGTTTGCATTATTTTTAGCAGATTTATCTGCAGAACTTGAAAGCACAGGCTGCATCACGATTTTTTACGCCAATGACTTAGCGATTGGGTCGACCGAACTTGACAGTTTTAAAAACGCATTGTTTGCACTCGAAAAATATTGCCAGAGAAACAGACTCAAAGTGAATGTTGGCAAAACTAAGGTGGTGAAACACAGAAATGGCGGAAGGCTGGCCAGTACCGACCCATTATTTTTCAACAGCACAGAAATCGAATTCAAGGATTCGTTTGAATACTTAGGCATAGTGGTATCCACTAAATTGACAGGTTCCAAGCACCTGGAGCATCTCAAGAAAAAAGCCTATGCTGCCTCTTGCTCTATAAAATCCAAAGTCCAACTCAGAAAAATTTGTTTTAAGTCCTCGGTTAGACTCTATGAGAGCGTCATATTTTCATCTGCTTCTTACGCTCTCGATGTTTTCAGCGATGTGTTATCACAGAAGGAAAGAGACGAACACTTTACCAAAGTGGCTGGGTTTTATTTCAAGAAATGAATCGGAATAAGTATTTATAGCAGAACACACAAAATTTTGCCTTTTTTGTTCAATAATGACTTTTTGGGCTTACAAAACTGTAGTCCTGCGCACAGGAGAGAAAGATGTATTTTTTACAGCAACGGTTTTCATCATGTTTTTTGTCATAAAGAGCGCTGTTACGAATTTAGGGACGATGAGACATGTAGTTGCAAGTACTGCGGTTGTGTGATTATCTCAGATATGCACCTTGACGCTTGTGTCGGTTTCTCACAACATAGAACAATCCAGCAAAAAGTCGAGGAAATTTACAGGTTGACACTTGATCCATGAGCGGTACCGATATTGGAAGTGGAACTGAATAAAAACTCTTTTTTTTCCACTTTTTGTCTCATTGAGATGTTGAATTCACCTATTATTATTATTGAAGAAACGTAACCCGTATCGATTTTAATTGAAAAGGACTTAAACACTTGTCATCTTCTCTTAGCATTATCACTTCCATATCTAAAAAATTTCAAGGATTTTGACTGGAATACGTGATAAGGGGACTCCTGACTGTAACCTCGGTTACTATGATACTTTTGAACTTAACCTATAAAACTACAAAATTTAAAATGTTTTTTTTTGCTCAGAACGATTTAAGAAAATGAAAAAACAAACGGATCTTCCTTGTTTAGGAATCCGCTTACAATTCACAAAATGCAGTTTGACCTCGTAATGCTAAGTAGTCGTAACTATTGTAGCCTAATTGTTGTGATAAACTTATTAAATAGTTTCATATACTATGATGAGGGGGACACGTGGACGCTTGAAGAGTGCTCAAAATTCACCGTGTACATCCTGCAACGCAGCCGTGAAGAAGCAAGACGAAGGAGTGCAATGCAATAGATGTGGCGAGTGGTGGCATCGGGCGTGTACGGACATCCCGCAGCAGATTTACGACCATCTATCATCGGTTCGTGGGATTATGTGGGCCTGTGCGAACTGCCTTGACAATGCCAAGACAGCAATGAAGACGTCCATTCGAGATAAGTCTATTGAAACTTCTCTAGAATCTATCAAAACTGAAGTCATCAATCTTAAAGCAGCTATTGTATCCACTGATACTAAGACAACTGTAAATGGCCACACAGCAACGCCTGTTACACTGATGATCAAAGTAAAATGGGAATAAGAATAAATGGCGTGCCTGAACCTTCCAACCAGAAATTGCATGACAGAATGGATTCAGATATTCAAGCAGTCAGAAAAGTTAATGGATTATTTGGGAGAGCCTGTCAATGAGCCTATAACTGATTCCTTTTGGCTGGTAAAGTATCGATCTGATGCTACCAGGCCGAGAACCTTGCTGGTGAGGTTTAAGAATCCAAGGCTGGTTTGTAAGTTGCTGGCTAAATCGTATATCTTGAAAGATTATTCTGATCGCATCTACTTATCCAGAGAGCTTACTGTTGACGAAAAGAAATTGGAGTCGCGTATTCTCTCTGAACGTGATAAACTTGTCGAAACCGGTATCTCAAAGGATAGACTGAGAGTTAGAGATTTAAAATTGTATCTGGATGGCAAAGAACATGTGTTTTGACTAGCCAACCGCAAAATTACTCTCTGTTTGCTGAATGCCCGTTCATTGAAAAAACATAATGCCATTTATGAACTACAGTGTGATGCCAGTTATCACGGATTTGATATTATCTGTATAACTGAGTCTTGGTTAACCACGGACATTGATAATTCGTTTATTGCTATTCCTGGGTATAAGATATTTAGGAAAGACCGCAGTTCGTTGAACTCAAACAAAACCACAGGCGGCGGTGTCTGTAATTTTGTTCGTGAAGGTATTGTCAGTTATCGGTAGACCTGTCATCATTCTGATCAGTATGAAACTCTGTGGCTGTCAGTTAGCGTAGGAAATAAATATTTGTTGGTCTGTTTGGTTTATTTCCCACCTGATGCTACGTATGGCCGTCAGTTAGAAATGCATATCTCACATTCCATCAATGTCTTCAGGGACCAGAACCCATCGTCAAATATTGTAATCTGTGGGGATTTCAATAACTTGGATACTGATGACCTCGTATTAGATTGCGGTCTTTACGATGTTTGTACGGAACCCACACGCGGGAATAATAGACTTGACAAAATATTGTGTTCGGATGAAATTTATTTCAATGGTATTGAACGATTTACGTCTACTCTGAGAACGGACCATATGGGTTTGGTTGCTTATCATGGTGTTGAACAATCTGAAAAGAAGGTTGTTTACTTTCGTGACCATAGATTTGCCAACAAAAATCATTTGAACTATTTGCTGGATACCCATGATTTAAGTTATTTTCTTAACTACAACGATCCAAATGTGTTGTTAGGGGAACTTCTAACGAGCTTCTGAATCTGTATAAGGTCGCCTGTCCATTTAAACGTGTTGTTCTTAGCTCAAAGGATCCACCTTTCATGACTCCGGTTATCAAATACCTTTTAAGGAAGAAGCATCGACATACACGTCGATGTAAACTTGCGGAAGCGAATGCTGTCGGCCTTCAAGTTCGTATGTTAATTACTAAACGTGCTTTTTCTGATTCCAGTGGTCGAAACTGGTGGCAGCGTGTAAATACTTTATTGAATAAGAATACAATAGCCCCAGATCGCACCTGTGCTTTTTCGGCTGAGCAGCTTAACCAGTAGTATAATGGCATCTCCACTGCTTCTGGAGGCCCATTCAAGCCTACTTATTTGGAGACTACAAATGACGGTCCGCAGTTTTCGCTGTTGCAAAAATTTAATGCCATGAAACGCATTAGGCGAACCGCTACTGGCCCAGACACTCTGCCGTTTTGGATCTTTAAGGACAATGCTCACAATTTGGCCGAAATCTATTGTCATATATTCAACTTGTGCTTGGAACAAGGTACTTTCCCGGAGTTTTGGAAGCTTGCAAAAACATCTCCCTGGCCAAAAGTTTCGTCTCCAAAGCAGCCAAAGGATTTGAGGCCTGTCTCTGTTACTTCTGTTATGTCCAGAGTGTTTGAAAGGTTAATTTACCAGAACTATCTGCAAGGCCCTTATAACAGATGGCTTACACGTAACCAGTATGGTTTTCGTAAACATTCTTCTACTTCCTGTATGCTCATTAGGCTGCAACATCATCTCTGGAATTTCCGTGAAAACTATGATTATGTTCGCTTCTTTTCTCTAGATATGTCAAAAGCTTTTGATACTATTTCCCACAAGAGTGTGATAGAAGGAGTAATGAATATTTTCCCAATAATTGATCCTGCGGTTTTCAACGTAATCATTAACTTCTTGCAAAATAGAGCCCATTATACTTCTCTCAATGGCTTGGATTCAACTGTTTTGTATACTAATCAGGGTGTACCTCAGGGCACTGTCCTTGGTCCGCCTCTTTACAATTGCTCTATCCATGCTACTGATGTTTCAGACATTTCCACCACGTTATCAACTTATGCTGACGATAACAATCCTCTTGTAGCTAGCTGCAATAGCGCTGACAATGCTCGGGAAGTTATTAGTTCGCACTGTCACCAATTTGACGCAAGAAACTTGTTTCTCAATGTTCAAAAACCTTCCAAGGAAATGCGTATCATTTTCAACCATAGTGGCAGTAATGCTATACATATGGTTGAGGGCATTGAGGTTGTTGATGACCTCAAAGTGCTGGGGTTTACGATTTGACTCCAAATTTGGTTTTTCTAAGCATATTGACAAAGCTGTTAAACAATCTAATTCTATACTTTTTTCAATCTGGCGCCTTGGTAAAATCGGTTATTCGAAGGACGAACTTGCTATTTTGTATCGTGCTTTTGTTCTCCCAAAGCTTTACTATGGCATTAATGTCTGGGGTGGTTCAAATGTTAAAGATCTAGAGAAGATAAATTTGATTCAAAGACGTGCAATAAGGCGTGCAATTCAAAGACGTGCTATGAACCAATATCTGCAACTATTAGAAGAGCTGACCAAAAACTCTACGATGTAATCCTCCAAACAGGTTCTGATCATCTGTTGTTTGATTTAGTTCCGACATGTTCTACTTACTCAGCAAACAACCTGCGCTGTCGTGATCCACCTATTGCTCGCTGTAAGATGGAGAGGCAAATGAAAATATTTCCTTATCGCCTGCTGCGCAGACTTCATGACATATAGTTTAATTTGTTGTCTGATTACGATTTATAGATGTCATTCTATAACTAATTTAAGTATCTATCTATCTATCTATCTATCAGTGGTGACCAAAACAATTGCCTACGAATGGCCACGTTTACATGTTTGAATGGTCTTTTTTAGAGGATAGATGGAAGTGCGACATCGACGTCCTCGTAAGGAACCTCCAGTGTTCAGTACAGCTCATAATCTCATTGCAAATCTTGATGCTTTCCCGAAAATTGATTCAGATTTTCAGACTAAGTCGAGATCTGGGGGTGGTTTGGCTCTTTTGACGTTCCTTTTCATCGCAATAATGGTGGTCATAGAGTTGAACTATTTTTTGAGCACACATATAGATTATCAGTATGAAGTAAATTTCGAGACTGCGCCAAAAGTAGAGCTTAACATTGATATAACAGTAGCCACGCCCTGTCAAATGATCGATGCTGACGTATATGATCATATCAGTCAAACTTCATTTGCCGGTGATGCATTTCCATCTGAACCGGCACAATTTGAGATGGACGAAACACAAGCTAAATATTACGATTTCTTGAGGCGAAGCCGAGCACGGATGTTAAACAGCTCAGTTTCTCTGGAAGAAATTATGTTTGCACAAGTTGAAAGTGAGTCATTTTGCCGTTTCTTGTGTATAAAACGCTTTTGGTATAAAACGCTTTCAAGACAAATTTAAGCATTCAGGTACAAGGGAGCTTAAATTATTTATAGATGTGTTTTCCAAAAAAATTCCTACGCAGAGTCTGCAGTCATATTGAAGCGCATTAAGTTCGGACAAAAGAATAATTCTCTACGATTTTTATTTATTTTGACATATGTAACAGTCGTTAGCTTATGTCACATATGAGGCTAAGAAGAATAAAAGAATAGGCCCTATAAAACCATTGGCTCTACGGTCAGGGATACTATCTCTTGTGTTTTTTCATTTTGAGCCAATTCGGTTCGCTTAAGGCATGGTACTACAAAATTGTGTTACAGCTTAAAGGCCACTACCAAATTACCCCCCCCCCACTAAAAATGAGAACGTCCCCATGGCTAGGTCTCTAAGTACCTAAAACACGCGAACGCTGTTAAAAATAGGGTTGGAAACTCAAGTATATATTAGTTTTTATTGGACAGTGGACCTTTGATCCATTTCGGATGAATCAACCTAAACCCCGCCTTATCTCAACATAATCGTGAAAAATACACTCAAGAGATTAAATTCATTACTTACATATTGACTTGACTCTAGACTCAAGTAAATAATGTAACTAAGATAACTCTGGAAGTTTTAAGTAAATCGTTTTGACTCAAGTAGTTTTGTCTTCTGAACCATTGGGCAGTTGGACTCGTCTACCTGCCCAATCAAGGTTCTCTCTTGAACAGCGATGACATTCTCGTATGAATTCGCGATGTTCTCTGTCGGGAACAAGACAGCTCTACTCGATTTAATGATTTCAGTAAAATTGCGAATAGCAATTTTACTCAAGCACAATTTTTATCAACTTTCCCGCAATTGTGATTCGGATCTTCTGATCAAATTGACTTCTGATTTCAATTGTCGCGATAAACTTGAGCATGTCATGGCCAATTTGAGTTTTTCAAAGTTAACAATTTCCCCCAAAATCAAGGTCAAACTTCCGAATATGAGCGACTGGCACAATAATAATCATAATGAAAGTAATGATAATAATACTATTACTTATAATAATAATAATGATAATCATAATATCAAATGTTTCAGGACTATAAACCAAGGGTTCGTATATGACCCAGTAATCAAAAAAATTGTAAATTCATGTTTCAGCGTGTTAAAGTAAATTCCTTTACGCCTCTAAGGTTGGTACATGCACTGAAAATTCGCCAAGTGCATTTATCTGATTAATTGTAAATGAATTTGAAGAATGTTTTGAAAATTTCCAGCAGTTTAGTCTTGCAGTCTGGGTCAAAGAGGATTTCGTATTTGAACATTTGGTTGATGGAGGGTTTCGTTCTCGATATGTACAGCGCTTCAAGGGCTAGCAGTCTAAATTCTCTGTTTCATTAGTCCAGAACAGTTGGAAATGTTAATTAAAAGGGGCTCTTCCGTCATACGGCGGTCCGTGTACAGGTTTGATAGGGCCATACCAAAGCGAAATAAATGCTTCAGCGATCAATGTGAGAGTATTGCAGTCAGTGTTTATAGCATCTAGTGACTTGTGAAATAAAATCTGCCCTCCTCGATTTTTGCACTAAACGAATTGTCAATGCTATTGGTGCTTTTCAATTTTTTATACCTCCGGATGCATAGAATTTTGGTGCTTTTAGAATTTTGGTGCAGATAATTTTTATTGTGTCGCGGTATGATTCATTTCGTTTTTCGCTGTTTTGTGCTAGCTTCTGAATTGTTTTAGTGGAGCGTGGCACTGCTCTGGAACATGCAAAAAGATTTCGTTGTTGGTATTTGAGGGTATTCACGCTGTCGTGATATTTGTAAGCGTCGGGTATGGTTTTTGGGCCCGATTTAGCCCGAGGGTTGAAAGTCTTCAAATTGAGAAAGGTTCGGCTTCCCCAGAGTTAATTAGCCTTGATGTCAAGTCTAGCGTCATTTTCAGTAATGGTTGTCTGGTTATCAAAGCGTTCGCCTTCCAGCGATAAAAGATTTGGTTGGCTCTATATCAATGTCATGGCAGACTCCGCCTACGAAAATGAAAAATTTCGTTTAATTCGGGCTAGGTTGACAAGAAAGCATATATCCAGCTCCCAATTAACCATGATCTACTTGCAAGCGCTCACCTTGCGAATTGCAGGGCACATGCGATTTGACCCGGCTATTCATAAAAATTTCTTATTTGCTTAATCGCTGACCCGGGTTGATCAAAATAAATCAGACAACTTTCAATACTGGAAAAATGTAAGTCATACAGTTTTCATGCATTTCCATAAGGTCTATGAGTAAAGATTTTTCATATACAGAACTTGAATAAAACGAATTTTTCCAAAAACCAAAAATTTTTGGGATATGTTCTTAACCGAGTAGAAGTGGCAAAGACCTTGGTTACTCAAAAGTAGACTTACCAAGGTTTAGAACGTCTCGCAATCACAATGCATCGGAAACTGCCTGAGTTGTCTTAGTTTTGTCATCAACAAATGATATAATGAAATTTTCAGAGGTGATGTTATCGGAGAGAGTTGAGTGAGATATCTTTTTACAACCCTTTCAGTAATAATTCAAACGACAGAACAAAAATTTTCAAAAATTTTCCAGGAGTCAGGAAAAACCGGTTTGAAATTTTTGAGTTTGTCTAATTGTTTTAATTTAGTTAACCAGCCAGAGGCCTAATCCGAAGGTTAATTATTTTAGGTTAAGTAAATTATGGCTATCTTACAAGATCCCATCTTCTAAAATGCAGCGCACACGCGATTTGTACCAGCAATCACATGATTGCTGGGTACCATCACTACCGGATTGCCACAAGCTAAAGCTAGTTAATGCCAATGCCTTTTAGAGCTATTTTTGTCGTTTTCTTGATTGTGTTTGTTCTTGATTGCTTTACGTCTGTATTTAAAGCGCCTTCATTAACGGATGTGTTTATCTAATGATACAGCAAGAAGAAGGCAATCTGAAGGTCCGTTGGGTGAATCGCACAGTCGGCTAAATATTTTTGTTTTTAACTGCTTATTTTTCAAAATGTTTTTTTTTGAGGTTTTCGTTTTTTTGTTTGCGTTTGCGAAATGCATCTTTGCCTCTGCGTTGAGCATTGGTTCGTTCTGATAAAAAATTGACGAAGAAATGCTATATTGTTTTTGGTTTGTTCCTGAATAGCTTCTTTATAATGAGTAACTTTCGAAAGGCTTGGCCAATGCCCGACTAGTTCAGGTTGAGATGTCACATTTCACTGACATGTCAATGCATTTAAGAATTGTATTGTTTTTGTTTGATTAACTGCCACACTACATCAACTAATGTATAACCTAGCAAACCTAGTTAAATTGTCTCCTTTTTTATTTTTTTTTGGTTTGGAGGCTGTGGCTGTGTCAAAGTCCGTTGAGGTTGAGCTATAACGCAGAAAGATGTTTAATCGGATATTTTTTTTGCAAATTTTTGGGGGTTTGAAAAAGCCAATTTTGGATAATAATGTGCCCTATTGAACTCACTATTGAAAATGTCTTTAAATACGTAGAGGGGGCGGTGAATCAATCCGACGCAGAAATCATTCCAAATAGAAGTGAGTACAGAAGTTACTAGATAAAAAATATCTTTGAATATTATACATAGATTATAAAAGGAATCTGAGAAACGGCTTAAAATTTATTCATTTAGTTGAATTTTTCGTTAGTTACACTCTCAGATATGAGCAAGTTTCTCTTTAATTTGCTGGAATGCATCAAGTGCACCTTCGCCTTAATAGTAATATTTAATAGGGGAGCGGTGGTGAAGTGGTTACGTCTCCCCATCTCAATCGAAAGGTCAGATGTTCGAGGCCCACCATGATCCGTGCTCGTTGCTTGAGGGTGAAGCAACATTACCCAGCCCAGAAAAATAACCAAAAAAATTGCATGTAGTTCTTAAACAGGGGCACAACAGCGGTTCGCCGTGATGAGCTGTACAGCTCTTGTGTTGGTCCTTTCTTCCGTGAATAAATGGTCTTAATTTAATACTTTTGACAGAACGAGTTTGTAGTCAAATCGACTGTTTAGCTGGTGGGGATATGTACCAGTTACAAATTATTTTGTTTTTAGGAGGGAAAGACTTCTCAAGCTCAATCGCAATGTCGGATTTATCAGAAAAAAAGGAAGACGGAGAGGATTTTAAGGCGTGTCGCTTCAATGGGTCAATTTTAGTCAATAGACATGCTGGAACTCTTCATATAATATCTGGGAAGCAAATTAACCTGGGAATTGGAGGGAGTTTCCACGCTCATATTCAAATGCCAGGTTTGTTTTTCCAAATTTTGTTTCACTCTAATTATTTCGAAAGTAACGTACCAAAAATTCGTTATATTTGTGCTATTAAGATTTCTTTCACTGAGTGGTCTGGGCGTGAAAGTTTTTTCTTATACATTGTTTTTTTTGAACATAAATAGTTTTTTCTTATACATTGTACTGCTGATCAGAATATACGGGTTTTAAGGTAAGCGCTAGTCGTCGCCCAAATTTGCTTTGTTCCTTTTGTTATCTTCAATTAGTGATGTTTAAATGAAATATTGCACTTTTTTATACGTTATTCTATCATATATGCAAGCGAAGTTTATTCTAGTTTTTTTTGGAAAAGAAAAATTATAGAACATTTGGCACGAATAAATTCCATCTTTCAGGTGCTGGCAAGTACAATTTCTCACACCGAATCGACCATTTGTCCTTCGGAGCGGTGAAAGTGCCTATGATTGGAGCATTGGACAGCGAGTTGAAAATAACCGAGCATGAGAATCAAGAGTATCAGTATAGGATGACAGTTGTTCCTGTTGGCATTGAGACTTTTAAGAATAAGATAACGACTTATAGGTTCAGGTTGGTATGTTTGTTTCTTTTTTGTGGGTCTTGTTAACTATTATCCTTTCTGGGGTATCTAGATTCTGTAACAATTTGAAGAACAAAATTAACGATTTAGATTATGCGAACTTTGCACCTTGTGAACATTTGCACCTTGTAATTATTTTATGACAAAGTTCATTTTTTTTCGTTTTTCAAACTTTCTTCGAACGAGCGAGCTGCAGTTGAAGAGCGTTCTGTTTGAACTAATTAACAAATATCAATTATATGTTGGTTCGCATATTATTTTTTAAAGTCGAAGATCTAATAGTTTGGACAGTAATTTGATCAGATTTCTGTTTTAGTGTTACCGAGAAAGAGAAAATCATCGACCATTCTCACGGAACACACGGCCAATCAGGGATATTCTTCAAGTACGATTTCGCATCTCTTAAAATCATAGCCAAGGAAAAACGGAAACCTGTAGTGCAATTTCTAGTCAGAATAGTTGGAATAATTGGCGGTGCTTTCTCATTGTCAAGTTTCTTCTTTTTCGCTTATGATTTTATTACTTGTAAAGGTCGAGTGGAGGAAAGTTGATTTCTGTTTCGAATAAAAGGACTATTCTGTTAGTTAGTGGATTTCTATAAGATAAAAAAATAATCTTATGGCATCAGTTTTTGGCGACTATTCTTATGGCGACCAGCACTAATAGGTTTCTAAAGGCGCCTTCCGTGCCTATAGATACTAATTTTGAAGGCAAGCGCGCGTAGAAAAACTGAATTTATGGTTAAAAAATCCCAGAAATGGCATTTTTGACTTGCTTGTACTGAGAGCGCTCTGAAACTAATTTGGTCAACCTCAAATAAAGTTCGACAGATTTTTGAAAATCTGCCCTTCGAGAAACTCCTAGATTCACATCTGGTTTAGACGATTTCTGGTTGATAGTTTTTTGAAGGGCAAAAGGTTAACTGCGATGGTAGGGATCAGAATAGTCCAAGCTAAGCTAAAGGAAAAATAACTTCTAAAAGTGATCGCGAGTCCGACAACCAGGTCACTAGAGGCTTGATTTGGGGTTCTGCTCTGCAGTATAAATTAATTGTCATTTATTAATATTTCATTTTTAGTTAATGTTGTTATAAGTTTTTGCTTCAAATAATTTATACTATTGCGATGAAAATATGATTCACAGAAAGAAGTATGGAATCAGTTTCATGCCCTTGTAAATAGCAAAGTTTCCCGAAGGGTGCTATAAATAAATTTTACCTGTCAAAATTCAATTGGTTATATGTTCATGTTGCTTCAATTTGAGATCAGCAGATAATTAGAGGATCGAAGAATTTAAGGAATGTTCTACTTTTAGATTTTGACTATATTATGTACTTTTTCACGAGTACTCCAACATTTTTTTACGAGGGCTCCGGAAATATACCAAGATTGTAAAAAAGAGAGTTACTTTCTTGTTTTTACCCGCTATTATTGTTTCGACTTTTGAAGAAAGTAACTGATTGTTTATGCTCGTAGGTCGACCACAAAAAATCTTCTTTTCGGGGTCGACCTCTTTTCAGTCTTTTTTTTTCGAACCGATTCAAAAAATCAAGAGAATTTATAAGTGTTAATGAATGATAAAAATGTTAATGAACGATGTGATTTTTCAATTGTTCAGGTTCCGTGGTTTCTTTTTCTTTCAGGAAAATTTTTTTTTAATTTTGCTCACGTTCAAAATTGATTTTTTTTGTGGTTTGACTTTTGATTTCTTTTAAAGTGCAACTCAATGCATTTGCTGAAAGGAAAATAAGCTACGTTCTCCAAAATCAAATGTGAAAATGGCGCGAAATAACGTGAATTTTTTTTAGTTCCAAAAATGTTCTTTACTTATCAGAACTCCCAGAGGAGTAAACAAAAGTTTTATTTGAACCAGTTTTCTCTAATTGAGTTAGGTTCATGAAGAAAGTGTCAATCATAAAATATTTATGATTTTCAAAATGCTTTCCTGTGAGTTTTTTTTCTATAAATTGAAGTTGGAAACAAATTCAAAAAAAATTAATCATCATTTTTTCAGTCATCTTGTTTCATTGACTTTTTCTAATATCTGTTGGTTATACCCCAATTTGCATCTCCCATTGAAACTATATACTAGTTTACTAAATTATAGCCTCAAAGATGCAGTGGCGCTTAATGAAAATTTTACAAACCTTCTTAAAATCGATCACACGCATTTAATGAAAAAGAATGAAGAAAGAGTTTGTTTCTCTAATTTATCGTTCAATAAGATTATGTAACATCAGATAATGAGACTTGGAGAGGACAACGGGATACTAGGATCCGCCAAGCCTCTGCCCTAAAATGTTATAAGTTCTTTTGAAAGTGAACAGAATTTTAAAAATCAATGAACAAAAACGTGTCTTTTCCAGAACGAAAATCTTTTTCATCATGCAACCATAACTTCCAAAAAAGCAAAGCGGGCAGCAAATGTTAATATTATTTATCATGCTACAGCAGTAGTCCTATAAAAACAGAAAGATTTTTTAAACTAAACATGAGAGAAAGTTTTTTTTAGTAAGGTTACCAACAAATTGTTACCACTTAGTAACTAATCAAACCATCCCTTATGTTTGTGATAACTAATTGCCACGTTACGCATCAGCAGCAAGGCTGCTCAAAAATTAATTTTTAATTGAAAAATTAATTTTCAGCGAAAAATCAATTAACGGAAATGGAGAAAACTAAAAATCCATTAATGGCCATTAATGGCGTTCAGTTCAAATGTTTCTCAGTTTTCTTCTTGAAGAGCGTCATTGACGGTTTCAACATTCCACATTCGTGCATTGGCTTTGAGAAAGAGCTGTTCTTCGAGATGTAAAGGGGTTATTGATTTCCGCAGGTCACCCAGAGAATACCCAGCTGCGCTGAAAAATCTTTCAATACGGTTCGAGGTCGGCTCCAAAAATTTGCAACTCATGTACTCCGTCGCAGTTGTCTTTGCACGCTTGCTCTCCAAAACGCGTGTTGCAAAATCCGACGAACTGGCACTCACAGAAGGCAAAACAGCTGTACAGCTCCTCAGAGATTGACACTCCTCTTTCTCTCTGATTGTCAAGTTTGCCTCATTCTCGTCCAAAATCTTAACAACACCATTTTCAAAGTTCGGGCTGGCGATAATTGAAGCGTTTGGCGCAAGATATTTCATGTCCATATCCAACTCGGGAACACACGACTTCGTCAAAAAGAAGTCTGGTCGATGATAAGTCGATAGATTCCCGCTGTAGAGCTAAAGTTACTGAATCGAGAACTTCCAACACTTTCTGGTTTTCCCGAGCATGAAGCAACGAATCAAGTAATGTCGATTCACTCGAAAAATGCTGTTCGAGTATTTGTTTTAACTCCAAGTACCTTGAAACCATTTCGTAAGAACTGCTCCATCTGGTAACGTTTTGTTGTTTTGGACGAAATGTCGTGAACTGTCGCAATTTGGCACCAAGTTTGATACCTTTTAATTTTCCTATCAAGACATTAATTTTTGACAAATTTTCGGAATTACTGGACGTCAAAATGTATTCTTTGACAGCCAAATTAAATCTGTGAGACGCGCATCCAATCATGGGAATTCTACAAAGCCTTGCCAAAGCTTTGTTAGTTTCACAGTTATCACAGATTAAACACACCACATTTGACATGTTTTTGCCAAACATTGTCAGAAGATAATTCAAGTAATCCAGGTGCTCGGAAGCCGACATGGAAGTTTCAACTAGAAGCGGTGAGAATCCAAGTAAAATCTGCGCCGGCAGTCCAGCATCGTTGTTGAAGTTTGCTATAACTCCAACATAGTAGGTCGACCCGCTTGACCATCCATCTAACATGAGCGCAAATGCATCAGGTAGTTCTTTTTTGATCGTCTTTTCTACCTCTCTTGTAACCAAATTGAGACATTTCATAAGCGTATTCCGGCAAATTGGAGTTAATTTTGTGTACTTAATTTTGTGTACACTGAGAATCGACAAACGAAAAGGGTTTCAGCTCTGAACATACCCAATCCAACCAGGCGTAGAAACCAGGCGTAGAAACAAACCCAGCAAAGGCGTCAATTTGATTCTCCGACGGATATACTTTTTTCTGGTAATTCGGATGAGCAGACTTAACGTGATTTAGTAAGTTGGTATAAACCTTGTTTTTCGTCTGTTTGATAACTTTTCCACATACACATTTCCGTGTGCCATCGCTCAAGACAGCAAAATAAAGGATAACGATTCGCTTGCTGGAAGCAGAATTGGGCGGCATGACTTGCTGGAACCGCGTTGTAAAACAATCTGCCGTCAGCTGCTCAGCTCACTTTGTTTGCTCCTTTGTTTGCTCACTTTGTTTGCTCACTTTGTTTGCACTTTGTTTGGATGTCCGCATTTTAATTGCTGGTTATTATGTATAGGGCCAATTGGCAAATTTCAACAGCAAGCAGATAGACGGCTGCTAGGACTATTGCGTTAAACACAGATTGGGCGATTCCCTGCTCTGAAATAACGGAAATGGCCTTTAATTTTTTGAATTAAAAATCCATTAATGCCATTTTGAATATTAAAAAATCCATTAATGGCCATCCATTAATGGCCGTTAGGTTTTCCCCCACATAATTTTTGAACAGCCTTGATCAGCAGAAAAGGTAAATAGTGACCAATCAGATATTTTTTTTTGCTGAGAGATATAACAAGTTTCAAGATATTGACTTCCTGAATTCAAATGATGAAAAGTTGTGGATGTTTGAAAGTTGGCCAAATTGCTGGACGAATCTATGATGCTCAGCGCGTAAGCGCGTATTTTTAAGCTTGTTTGTTTCATTATCTTAAATAATCGTCTAAGTCTCAAACCAAATTTTTGTTTTTGTGACCGCATTTTTGTTAACGTAGCTGGATGTTTTTTGAAGATTCCAAAAATCATTTTTAAATCAGGTTTTAAGAGGAATGGACGTAGTGAAGTCTCTAATGTAGTTCTTGGTGATTTTTTTTTCAGAAAGTCTTAAAATGCTCTAATAACTACAGATGTTCATTCATACCTTTTAATGCATTTATGAATGCACTTAGCTGTATATGCACTTCTCTTTGAGTTCAATTAAAATTCATTTGCTGAAAGTTACGTAAGCAGCACTCTCCAAATACGAACGCGGAAATGGCGCAAAAAAACGTGAACAATTTCTAATTTGGTAGGTGGAATTTAATTTTTAGATTTCCAACGGAATAAAAACTTTAGCTATTGATCCAGTTGTCTCAAGTTGGGTTTTTAATCAAAAAAGCGCCAATCATATATTGTTCTATAAATTCAAAGAGATTCATTACTCTTTTCTTACTGTCTGTTGGCTATGTTTTCTGAGACAATTTAAGATCAATTGGAATCTTCAGAGCTTTTGCTAGAGCTGTCTGGATACTAATGTTAGTCCATTTGTTTATGTTTAATTGGCGGCAATTAGGTAAAAGTATTCGCTGTTGGTCGATGGATCAATTAGGCTAGAAATTTTTTGAGAGGCCAACTCTTAACATTTGGCCGAATGAGCGGTTAAATGCTTGACATAAGCAGGAAATGCTGGTTGTACTGCCATTTTGTCAATTGAAACTACCATCATGACCTGTAAAATTTAGGCGAAATTCAGCAACAACTTAAAACTGAAACTAGTTTTTTTTTTTTGAAATTTTTCAGCTTTTTTTGATGTTTCAAAAAGTAATAAAAACTGCTTGTGGCGATTTAACTATTTTTTTGTTAGTTTTAGAGGTTTGTTTTGTGTTGATAAACATGGATGAGCCCTCACAAAAACGCGCTCGAATTGAACCAGAAGCTAAATTGAAGGCAAGTAGCATTTTATTGTCGTTTTAAGGATAATAGTTTCAACCTATTATGTCTCATCTAATCCAAAGAACAGATTTAGACGTAGAAATTAGAAGCTTAGAAAAGTTGGATATTTTGATCAAAAATGTTCACTTCAATTGCATGATTTATATTATATTACCTAGGTAAAAAGTATGTTAGTGATGAATTGTATCGAAACAATTCAGCGTACAGAATTAATTTATTTTAGGCCTCTCAAATTGAAGATGTCGAATGTCTTGCATCATGTGAAAAAATGCAAAACATAGAAAACAATCTGCCGTCAGCTGCTCAGCTCACTTTGTTTGCTCCTTTGTTTGCTCACTTTGTTTGCTCACTTTGTTTGCACTTTGTTTGGATGTCCGCATTTTAATTGCTGGTTATTATGTATAGGGCCAATTGGCAAATTTCAACAGCAAGCAGATAGACGGCTGCTAGGACTATTGCGTTAAACACAGATTGGGCGATTCCCTGCTCTGAAATAACGGAAATGGCCTTTAATTTTTTGAATTAAAAATCCATTAATGCCATTTTGAATATTAAAAAATCCATTAATGGCCATCCATTAATGGCCGTTAATTTTTCCCCCCATTAATTTTTGAACAGCCTTGATCAGCAGAAAAGGTAAATAGTGACCAATCAGATATTTTTTTTTGCTGAGAGATATAACAAGTTTCAAGATATTGACTTCCTGAATTCAAATGATGAAAAGTTGTGGATGTTTGAAAGTTGGCCAAATTGCTGGACGAATCTATGATGCTCAGCGCGTAAGCGCGTATTTTTAAGCTTGTTTGTTTCATTATCTTAAATAATCGTCTAAGTCTCAAACCAAATTTTTGTATTTGTGACCGCATTTTTGTTAACGTAGCTGGATGTTTTTTGAAGATTGCAAAAATCATTTTTAAATCAGGTTTTAAGAGGAATGGACGTAGTGAAGTCTCTAATTTAGTTCTTGGTGATTTTTTTTTCAGAAAGTCTTAAAATGCTCTAATAACTACAGATGTTCATTCATACCTTTTAATGCATTTATGAATGCACTTAGCTGTATATGCACTTCTCTTTGAGTTCAATTAAAATTCATTTGCTGAAAGTTACGTAAGCAGCACTCTCCAAATACGAACGCGGAAATGGCGCAAAAAAACGTGAACAATTTCTAATTTGGTAGGTGGAATTTAATTTTTAGATTTCCAACGGAATAAAAACTTTGGCTATTGATCCAGTTGTCTCAAGTTGGGTTTTTAATCAAAAAAGCGCCAATCATATATTGTTCTATAAATTCAAAGAGATTCATTACTCTTTTCTTACTGTCTGTTGGCTATGTTTTCTGAGACAATTTAAGATCAATTGGAATCTTCAGAGCTTTTGCTAGAGCTGTCTGGATACTAATGTTAGTCCATTTGTTTATGTTTAATTGGCGGCAATTAGGTAAAAGTATTCGCTGTTGGTCGATGGATCAATTAGGCTAGAAATTTTTTGAGAGGCCAACTCTTAACATTTGGCCGAATGAGCGGTTAAATGCTTGACATAAGCAGGAAATGCTGGTTGTACTGCCATTTTGTCAATTGAACTACCATCATGACCTGTAAAATTTAGGCGAAATTCAGCAACAACTTAAAACTGAAACTATTTTTTTTTGAAATTTTTCAGCTTTTTTTGATGTTTCAAAAAGTAATAAAAACTGTTTGTGGCGATTTAACTATTTTTTTGTTAGTTTTAGAGGTTTGTTTTGTGTTGATAAACATGGATGAGCCCTCACAAAAACGCGCTCGAATTGAACCAGAAGCTGAATTGAAGGCAAGTAGCATTTTATTGTCGTTTTAAGGATAATATTTTCAACCTATTATGTCTCATCTAATCCAAAGAACAGATTTAGACGTAGAAATTAGAAGCTTAGAAAAGTTGGATATTTTGATCAAAAATGTTCATTTCAATTGCATGATTTTTATTATATTACCTAGGTAAAAAGTATGTTAGTGATGAATTGTATCGAAAACAATTCAGCGTACAGATTTAATTTATTTTTAGGCCTCTCAAATTGAAGATGTCGAATGTCTTGCATCATGTGAAAAAACGCAAAACATAGAAAACAAAATTGATAAATCAACAGTAGATTTTGTGACTACCGAAAAAATGAATATTACTTCGAATGACGATGAATCTATTTTGAGTAATGACAAAGAAAATTTGCATGTTACTGAAGCACAGTTAAACCAAACGGACAAATCAACCGATTTTCTGAATGAAGAATGTGAAAAAATTGCTAACAATCATGCGTTTTCTGCCAGCAAAGCGGACCAAAAAGCTCAACATTTGCAAACGGCAACTTCTTCTGAAAAGAAAACGACGGTTGAAAACAACGAAAGTTTGAATGAAGTTACATGCGTGGAAAACGTCAGCAACGCTGAACTTGTTTATGAAAAGAATTATTCGGCATTTAATCTTACAAGTGAAAAAAATGTGACCAAATCGGAATGTACAGAAAAGAGCAATAAAGATGAAGAGAAAATAAGTTCAACTTCGGAAATCAAAATTTCAACCAATGATGAAACTGATTCGGTTGATGACGATGAGATAGTTACGATGGAAGATTTTTTGGCAGACTACGATGAAGTATCGTCCATGTTTGGTGGTTTACGAGATGATGAATGCACGTATAAACTGGGAGCTATGACTAGACAGCCTTTATATGCATGTCTAACTTGTGTGAAAGGTAATATTGTGATAGATGGGTTCTCAAAGAGCGTTGTTGTGTTATTATAAAGTTACACGAACCTTGATAAAATTTATTGCAAGAAAAATTAAAATAGAAGTGTCAGAAAAACTTCGGGGCGAACTTTGGATGTTGTGATTCATTTTCACGAGAAGTGTAGCAAAAAATGTCAAATGGGGCGGGTGAGAAAAACTTTAAGTTCAAACTCAGTGCGCTCACAGCTCAAATTATAGTAGTCCCTTTCATATAGCGCAGTCTAAAAAATGAGGCTCAGAAAAACGGTAGCAACTCAGCAATAACATGAAAGACGAACACGAAAATTATTCCTAAGTGTAAGAAAATACAGTTGACTTCTACAAATTCTATTAAGCTAGTCAATCAATTCACCATGACGACCAAAACTTCTATCGAAGCCCTCGTAAATTGAGTCTAACAAACTGACTTGAAAGTCGCGCGTTCAGTTTTTCCTACGTTACCATAAAAAGCGAAAAATCAAAATACCTTATTTTTAGGATTTTTTTCTCCATTGCATCTTCAAGTATTTTTTATTGGCGTTGTGTCTTGAGAAGTTGAGGCTCACTGCAATATTTGGACTTTTCCTTTTTTCACTCTTGAGTCTTTCTGGCGGTGTATTGGATTGCCCCATGTTAGATAATATAACCTTGAGGACTAAGTTAATTATTAAATAGCACAGTTTTGGGACCGCCATTTTTTAAACTCCAAACGAGCGCTTTTTTGATAATTTTTTGCTTCTTGTCAATATTGTATGGGATCAACTGTCATCAATTTTAAGTAACCCTAATTAGTCTTCTACCAATACCAACCCTAAGTAGTCTTTTTCTACCAATACCAACCAGAGACGTTAAATTATCGGACTCTTACCGCCCAGTCTCGATTTTGAGCCCAGCAGTGACAATTTTAAAATTTTTATTCCATCGCGTTTTAAACAAAAAATCTCCCTAAAGCTGACCGTCAGCACGGCTGTCGTCCACACCACTCAACCAATACGGCACTATCAACTCTTGAGTTTTTTTATTAGCACTAGTTTTTAATTAAACACGACCACCTGAAAGAACCGTGCTAGCTACCTTAAATCTATACAAGTGCATTTGACATTGTCTATCATCGCACATTACTGGATCTTATTCACGGCACCGTTGTACCAGAGAGCATATTAAATGGTTTTCCATCGAGCGGCAGGCAAGTGTGCACACAAGGCTTCCGTCAAACTTCATTCATATACTGATGATTTTCACCCCTTACTCCAATCACGCGACAGAAAACATGCCTTTGACACTTAAAGTAAGTATCTTAACACACTGCACGACTTTTTAGTACTTTAAATATTACTTACAAAACTTAAATCAGACCAACCCTGGACTACGCCTGTCCAGCTTCGTCTCACGCCGGGAGTGATCCATCCATAAGTAAAGTGCAAATAGTGCAAAATGCAGCTCTGCGGATAGTGATTGGATGTACTAAGATGAGCAACATTGACCACCTACATTCAGAGTGCAAACTATTTAACGTCAAAGATTACCACAAACTCCTTGCCTCATAATTCATCCTCAGGATCTGCTCGCCAATAATTCCCCTCGTCTTCTACTATACTCACCGCCCCGCCAGCAACGTGAGAACATCTTAAAATCTTAAAGAGGAACTTGAACAAATTTTACAAGAGGCAAACGAGTTTGACTATTTCGATTTTAACCACCTCAAAGCGTTCATAAACAGCAATTTTAAAACGTTTGTAAAGAATATACTCACAAACTGAGTGCAGAAAGCCATAGACGAAGCCCCTCCCCACCAAAATTTCTTCCCCTTATGACGCCCAGAAGTTCCAAAAACTGAACAGACCCTCCACGCTCAACTGGGCGCACCCTCGCCCAAACAAGATCAGGATACAGCCCCCTCTTAATTACTTAAATGAATAGGATATACCCTAATGTCCTTCCAAACTTTCCCTTCTACCCTGCTCCCAACACTGCACTACACTAATTTAACTGTCCCCACAACAGAACAAACTTGACCCCAATAGGCTTGTGGCTTCGGCTGACGGAGGTCGCAACGTTCCTCGAACTCGGCGAGAACATGTGGGACGCGACCCAAACAACGGTAACAACAACAACAACCACAACAGAAGTGCATGAAGTTAAGTTTCACCATCAATACTTTCGATTTGAGCCAGAAATTATTACTAAGTACCACGTGGAATACTTGTGTCAACACTGCGGAGCCCCTCTGCATTGGCTGCGTCCAACTCGCATGACGTTAGCTAGCGACGCGCAGATCTTGCACTCGTCGAAGAGACCTACCGACAGTTATGTGCGCAGTTGGCATTGACAAGGGCACAAGTCACCGTCCCTTCTGAGTATATCGATGCGTATAATTTCACTGAGTCTCAAACAATTAGTCGTTGAGTGCGCCTGCCCCAAGTCATGCTGCAATCTTGACTGCGTTCATGATTTGCTCACTGGGAAACACGCCATTTCCTCTCAGCCTCAGGAAAGAGTTTAGGGAACATCAACGCAAGCAGCCATCAAGCTTTCAATCAGTTTGATTTGCCCGGTTGAACTTAAGTTATTGTTATGGGACCGAGGAATTTTTGAGTCTGGTGTACAAAATGTGAGTATCGAGACGACTAGGATGGTCCTCGATGGAATTGTATTGCTGGACACAAACGCGGTCAAAATGGGTCGTAGGCATTTTGTATGTATTACCGTGTACGAACCGATAGGCCTGAAAAGAAGAAAGACATTTCGCTCATCCATGTTCAACTTAACATAGCCTAGGGCTCTTTTTCCTTTCCCCCCACCTCACACGGCCATCAATTTTATAAGGTAACCAGTGGTTTTACAAGTTTAATTATAAAGACCAAATATGTTTGGCATAGCCTAATTAGTCTGCATGTCGATTTTCATACCGATCGGACAATCTGAACGGTAAGTTTACTAGTAAAAAATTGCAAGTGGGGGAAAAGGAGAAAGAGCATAGCCTAGAATTTAGTATTGTAAAGATATTCTTAAATTCGTATATTCTTAAAACGACTTTATTTTTTAACCAAACCCATCTATCACAATTGTTTCTTCTGTCTGACAGATAAAACTGAGCCAGCTGCTTGTTGCTATGCGTGCTCCATTAATTGTCATGGAGACGATGATAAACACGAAGTAATAGAAATGTACACGAAGAGAAACTTCACGTGTGATTGTGGAAATGAGAAGTTTAAAGAGAAGTGCAAATTGAATGCAGAAAAGAAGCCAGTCAATAATGGTAAGCAGTCGCAAATTTAGCGCCTGTTTTTTTATTTAAACTTGCCTGTAGCGCAGACGATTTAAACAAATTAGTGCCTTTAATTTTTTTTAGCTTGAGCGCAGAAAATCACTCTGGTCGAGTTTCAAAAAACCTTTAGTCCGCGTCTGATTGTAAGGCAGAATCAGAAAATTCAAAAAAGTGATTTTATTTCCTACTGGTGCTGGGCTTAAGGTTCTTGAAGAAATCTGATAAAATATTAAATTGGCTGAAAAGTCGGCAAAGAAGGTAAAATTGCGTTCATTTTCAAAAGAATGCTTGTTTCATCGATAGATTTGAAATACCAAATTGCAGGTTCTGCGGATTAGCTAATGACTGATTATATCCTCATCTTCAGAGTAAGTGCTCCGTTTCGGCGCCCTCTAATTTTATGTCTATTCTGGATATCTTGTGATATTTTCAAAAAATGTACTTATTTTAGTTGCTAAATACTTTATCTTTTTTTCGTTGATAATGTCTTTCCGTGTCCATAAATATTGAAAAAGTTGGGCTTAAAATTGGCAGCGATTTTTATCTGGCTCTTTCCAGGAAATCATTACGATCAAACGTTCATGGGAAAGAACTGCAAGTGTCATCGACCGTACCCTGACGATGCCCCAGACGCATGTTCCGATGACATGATCCAATGCATAGTATGCGAAGATTGGTTCCACTTAACCCATCTGAAATTACACGAAGATGATAAAGAGAAAACGGAGTCTGATTTTGCAGAGTTGATTTGTGATGGTTGCATGGGTGGAAATGCGAGGTCATTGGTGTGTTATTACGAGAAATTGAGAGCTTTTGCACCTGGAGAGTTGCCAACTGTTGATGAAACTGAATCTCAGAAATCTGATGTCAAGTTAGTCTATTCTTAATAAGAGGTCAAGTTGTTCTCTTAATATTGTTTGAAAAAATATATTGTTTGATTTTGTCAGAATTATAATGAATCAACCTATACTTTTTGGTGAAACTATGTATAATAATTTATATGAAACTATGAAAGTGAAACAATAAAACAATAAAATTTATTTTATACTTCTGCTTCGAAACCAGTTTAACGGGACTCTGTTGTCGAGTTAACGGACTTAGACTTTAAGTGTGCGGTCTTAGAAAGTAAATAACATGCATAATCTCAATATGCCAGGAAACATTATTAATTTGATTTTGCTTAGAACTTGTTCGCGTCCTGAAACTTATGCAACATACGAATCAAGTGAAGAGCCGTTCGCTACATTTTGGAAGTACGAATGGCGCAAACATATCTGCAGATGCACTTCATGCTTGAACGATTTGCAACTGAACGGAATTCTGTTTGTCTCGGACTGGGACGATTCAATGTTGGAATACGAAAGACGAGCGAGAAAAGCCGACAAGGAATCAAGTTTATTCGACCTTGAATTAGAGCTTAAGTTATATCTATTATCAATTTAAGTCGGATCTATTTAACGGTACCCTCGAGAGATCAGTGTCGGTATTAAGTTTCACGGAGGGTAGATTGGGATGTACTTATTTGGGTGATCCTTTTTTGTTAACATTCACCCGATTGGTATTTTTCTGCATAAAAAATAGTTTTAGCTGGTCAAAAATGAGTTGTAGGTATGTGTTGAAAGACTAAGAGAATTTTTTACCTATTGATTTTCATTCAAAGTCGATGGCCGTAGCGGTTACGTTCTTCCAATCATTTTCAAAACCTAGTCAAATAAGCGTTAACCAAATTTATGTTTATGAAATAAGAGCAAATAATTTAAACTTGATTCCTCAACATTAAAAGGAAGAAGAGGAGGCTAAATTAGCCAAAATTCCCTATGTAATAAAACAACTAATGGGTCAGTTCGTACATGTATTGGACGGCAGTTTCAAAGAGTTCTTCTCGACTCTGCCCGAAGAGTATTTGAAAGGAAAGCCGATCACGGCTGATCTGGTTCAGCAGTTTGTTGAGAAATCGCAAGGAGAGTTAAAAGAAAAGATGGCGAAGATTGCGTTCAAACCGCCCGATAATTGCCGATGAATGAACAAAAATTGAAATTTCAGCCTTTTTTCTGAAGCTGAATGCTGACGTGTCCATGTTGAAAATAATTACTTGGAAATACCCAATTTCTAAGTATGTCAGCTTTATTATGTCAAAAAACTACACGAAACAATTATTAGCAATTATTTTGATTCAACGTGTTGTGCACTTGCGATGCAAGTTTCATTTTTACTTTAACTGATATGGTGATATTTTGCTACAATTGATGTTGGTTGAATTCGAATGCTTCTTTTTCCTGATAATAATACTGTTTAGTTTTTAGATTTCAGTTTTTTGTTTGTTTGTGATTTCTTAATCTTTTGTATCATTTTGAATTTACAATTGCGTTTATTTTTTGTGGAAGTTAATCGCCAAGGTAGCTCATGGAAAGCAACTAAAAATTAATAACCTGCAAATTTTACGGAAATTGATAATGATAAGTCACAAAAATGACCAACGATAGCCGGTTGCTGTTCAAGTAGCACATAATCTTGCGACCATTTTCATGAAATCTACAAACAAAAGTTCTTCAATTTATTAAGTTTTTCAATTTAATGTAGTTTTTTTTATGGTGTGATGATAAAATTATACACTCGAGTAAAAAGTTAAAAAGTTAGGCATAATCAACTACAGTTATCTTCTAAAAAAACAATTAAACGCAAAAACAATTTTAGAAAAATTTCGAATTTTTTCTTCTATCTTTTTTAATGTTTTTTTTTCAATTTATTTTTTGCCAGTGAAGTGCCAAATATTGCTTTGAAAACTAGCTTCCGTTTGAAAAAATTTCAAACCGGTTTTTCCTCTACACTAGGAATTTTTCGGAAGTTTTTTAATGGCTTTCGAATCACGGCTGAAAGGGCTTATATCATTCAACCTAGTCAGATGATTATTTGTGGTACCTGTGGATCATTCAACCTAGTCCGATGATTATTTGTGGTACCTGTGGAAAAGGAAAAAATGAAAAAATAAAATAAAACACATCTGAATGCAAAGTTTTTCCTTTTTTCAATGGTCGGAACAATAAAATTTAAATAAAAACCTATCCTTATCAGTTATAATCTATAAATATGAACTAAGCAGTCAAGTGCTTTTTACTTGCCAATGCAGTTCTTTAAACCATTATTTGATCGTTACGTATTTTCTGTTTCTTTTTTTTTGCGAGATGTCCAAAGAAAAAGATAAGAAAGCTATTAGTTGATTTTAGGCCACCAATTTCATTTTTTGGGACTGTTTTTTCTTTTAGACATTTTCGTTTCATTATAAGCAGAGTTGTTCATAAAAATAATTTGACTGCTCATATCAGGGTGAAGCTCTGAATATTCCGACTGCCCTGCAATGTATTCGAAATAGTTTTTGAAAATACCAATTTAAAAAATTCGATTTTTTTTTCGATTAGTCCCCCCCCCCCCCCCACACGCCATGCCGAATAAAAAGTGATTTTCATAGCTTTTAGTAATGTATGAGTTTCATCAAACATCTTGCCTAATTTCTAATAAAATTAAGTTATGAGCAGAATAAATACCCACTGACGCGTTAATAGCACGAAATACATCGCGCGTTAAGGGTCTTAAATTAGCCAAGTTGTCATTTTCCAAAACCTCATAACTGTGCAAAAATTGATCAAACGACCAAGTTTCTTATTAAGCTTACGATTAGCGATCGTTATCAAATAGGAATATAGATTTTTTCGAGTTAACAACTAGTTTAACAAAATCACTCGAATCACTATACCTTTGGTTCATATGAAATCAAAAGTCAGAGGTTAAGTCATCGCACTTGGTCTGGGGTTAATGCAGTTACCTATGAAATCTTATGTGAGGGGTTCGAGTCCCTGTCGGATCTTGTAATTTTTCAGTGTCTGGCATGGAATATTTTTCTGGTTTGTCGGATTTTATTTTGTCTGCTTATGTTTTGTCGACTTAGTTGCCATCAGAAATTTTTTTTGAGCTGTAATCAGTTTCATTGTAGTCTCAAGGGTCTTGATTAACTTCTGTTACTATACCGGATTGATATATTTGCCGTTTTTTCTTGTTTTTTTTTCGATTAGAAACTTTATTCGGCCTAAATGATTTGGGCTCTTGTTTTGTCGGTGTAGTCAACATATTTTGCATCGGTATAAAGATAAAAATTGATTATAAAAGGTGATTTTAAAGATCAAGCTTTTAATCACTCAAAGTTTTTTGTGACAGCAATTTCCCTTGACATTTGTTTTGGTTTAATTGATATCAAACCATGTGTTGTTGGCTTGGTGGAAGCTTGAAAGATACTAACTGCTTGCTTAATGCTAGTGGTTGTATTTCTCGTCTGTTTTTCTGAGATTCGATTTTTCGTTATTCTAAATAAGTCTTTCGGTTTTTTTGATTTCAGATCAATTGGCGTCTAACTACGTGTTGTTGGCTTAGTTGGCGATCAGAAAACACTAAAAGCTTGCTTCATGCTAGTTGTTCTGTTTCTCGTCTGTTTTTCTGAGATAGACTTTTTCGTTTTTCAAAAAAATTTTTGAATGTTTTTTGACAACCATTTGTTTTGGCATTTTTGTTTTCGGGTCGATTGCCGTGTAATTGCGTTTTGTTTGGCATAGTGGCACTCAGGAAATACTTAAAGCTTGCCTAATTGTGGTGATTGTGTTTTCGTCTGTTGTTCTGTGGTTGAATTTTTCGTATATCCAGTTTTTTCAAGTTACTTCCATCTCACTGACCATTTAGTAGCTTGCAATAGTACTTTTTCGTTGCATCGTAAGTGATACGAAGCTCCGCTTCGCCTTTGTGTTATGTTTGAGTCACCTTTCAGATGGTATAAAAATTTTTGTTCAAAAACGGCTAGTTAAAAAGTTGAACTGGCCTGAAGAAAAAGTACGCCAGAGCTTAAATAATCCGTCTTTTGGTTCGAAAGTCGGGTCAATTACTATCAGGTACTTCAACAGATTACTTGTTTGAGCGCGCCGAGGTAATTCAAATTTCGACGCTTTCAAATAATCATTCCAAACAAAATGGCTGCTAGCTAATAGGTCTCACTAAGTTCCGTTCTGTTACTCAATATTAGTTTTTGGCTTGAATGATATGCTTGACGTTTCGGAGCTTCTTTTTGATTTTTTTTTCTGCTCAGTTGGGAACCTGTTGTCTCAGCAATTCGATAATCACACCACAATCTATAATTGAATACTATTTTCAACGCTTGGATTATAGTCTGTCGGGAGCTGTTCTCGTGCGCGAAGGGCCGAATTGGCAAAAACTCTCAACCAATCGATGCCCTTTAAATTGTTCAAAATATGACTGAAATTATTCTTGAGTTCTGATTGGCTGATAAATTTTTCGCGCATTTGGTCCTTCAAGCCTGAGGGATTGCCCCGTTTACTTATTAAGTAGCACATTTAATTGCTATGTGCCCGAAGTTGCTTTTATGTACTTTTCTATAGAAGCATGAGGTAATAGATATTCTGTTTTAAATTTCTTGATTCAAGCTTCGAATTGACTAAAACTAAAAGAATAAGCTGTCAGGGAGGAGTTTGTGAAGTGGGTTCCAAGTAAGAACTGTTTCAGGGGGGGGGGGTGCTTCCTTGATCTTTCCCAAATAATTTCAATCAGTCTGAACCAAATTTGTTCGATTTTGATTGACTGCATGTTATTCTACAAGCAGGCACGAAATTCTTGAATTTAAAGCGGATTAACTATTGGTTCTGGTATTCTTCTTAAACAAGGCAATTAATCGTTCAAATAATTAATTGAAAGTTTGTTAATTAACTAACATAATTAAGAGGTGGATTCGGCTATTTTCAGCAAATTTGCAGTAGTTTCAGTTCTTAAAAATTAATTTTTTCGTGACAATGAGAACAGTTTAAGTTTTTAAGAATCTGAATTCATAGTCTTTAATTAGAATCCTCAAATTTTGCAATAGTTTTTTCCAGTTTTTTGCGGTGACGAGTTTGAAGCAAGGACTTAACTTTCATTAGGTTTATACACTCCTTCATTTTTTGATTCGTTTGACTTCGGATAATATATCCTGTAATTCGACGACAAAAAAATAGATAATCACGATGCCTTGAATCTTATTTTTCAGAGTCTTTGTTAATTGAAAATGAGTGAAAATGTTGAGAATTCCCCTCCAGTCGCTGGCGGAGACAACGAAGCAGAGAAAGTTTCAAAGAAAGCTCTGAAGAAAGCTGCCAAGAAAGAAGAGAAAAGGAGTGTGATCATTTTAAATTCAATTTTACTGAGTTTGTTAAGAAGCAATCAAAATGAAATAAAGGCGAATTTAAGGTTCAAAATAAAAAAACAAAGAAGATCGATTTTCTAATTAAGCTGGAAATAAAAATGAATCATTTGTTAAAATAGAATTAAGCAAAAATTACTTTAAAGAGGTTCCATGAAAAATGTTATATTAACAACAAAAAACTCGAAAATCTAAGTAGTATCCATGATAGTTGTTTCAGATTTTTTGGATTGCTTATATTAATCCATATAGTATAAACAGTGGCTTTCAATTCTGAATCAGACAAAAGTGTTTGATGATTTTCACAATGGTAACTAGCAATTAAGTTGTTCCGCTTAGCGCTGCAAAAACTTGAGAAATTGATATAAAAATCATTTGATTTTTGATTTCAATTTGAAAAATGCTTTTAATACATTTTTTAACTGACTCTGGAAGTTTGACTTTTTAGGTGCGTCTAGTCACTTAACTTTAAAAAGTCAAAGCATCCAAATACTATGTAAAACTCAAATATTGTTTCTGCGAAAGCACGGGGACGACTGAAACAGTAAAAGTTTGAAATTTGACAGATGAAATCTTTTCATTCCTTGTGTGAAAACACGATTTGAGCACGTTTTTGCTGAACACGTTTTGAAAGAAAGAAGAAATGAATTGAGACAGCAAAAATTTATGAATTGTCAGCAAAATCTGACAGACATTGAGAACCTCACATCAGAGGAACAAAGTTTGTACTTTTTCGATCCGAAATTTACCAGTAAGTACTTAAACATTTTATTTAGTTTTCCGAAAGATGCAGGTTTAGACAAAATTTTTTGCGCATTTGAAAAGTTTTTTAAACATCGATAAATTTTCAATCACGGCTTTTAAAAATAAACTTGATATAATTGTTTTTGAGTGTTATGTAACTTTTTGTTAGTCATAAACAATGACGAGCCCAGATGGGCATCAATAAACAATACAACCATTAGTTTATTCGAGGAGATGACTGAAGTTAAATTGATGCGTGGGTTGAAGTGCCAAGAAAGCGGACAAGAAGGCAGTCAATAGTGAGGGTGGGGCAGCAGGTGGTGAGTCATCAAATACTGGTGCTGATGGGGGTCAAGGAGTGGACATATCAGAAGGTATGTTTTTGTTTCGCTTTTTTTCTAGGTAATTAATTTCTCAGAGAAATGAGTATATAGACTTCAAAATAGGCTTGCAGGCTTGAAGGTACAGCAATGATAGATAATAACTAAGATGTGATCTCGTGATTGCGCTAATGTTAAATTAAGAGGTGTCTAAATAAATAATGATGAAGATGATGATGAAATCATCCAAGTTCCCTATTTATAAATCAAAAACAGATAGATTTAGTTAACAACGAAGTGCACGAACTAATTCAGAGCTATTCGAAAATCCAAAAACGTTTGTTGGTTGCTTTGCAATAAGTTGTTTTCCAAGGTCAAGTTATTGAAATAGAGCTTTTATTCAAAACTGAGATCTTTTGTCATGAATATTCTTTTAGTTTCATTTAGTTTCCCATTTTCGGTTGCTTTTCTATACGTCAAAAATTAAAGAGTGATCAAGTATCTAGTGAGCGGGCTTACATTTACATTAGAAGTCAATTATGAATCATCAAACTTGAGATTAATGAGCATTAACATCCTCGGGGGAGCCCTTTAGGTTTTCCCTTGGATGAACCAAATCCAATTTTACGAGGGGTCTGGTTAATTTGCCTAGCGCTGTTTTTACCACGCACGAACGCGCTATGACCTCAGGTCCGGTGAATATCTCTGTCGCTCGTCCAAGCGGCGAAACTCCTCTCCAAACGAGTAAAATCCTCGAGTATCCAAACGATGTCGTTGACTCGAATTTCGTCTGCTGGCTGTCTCCATTTTTTACGGCGTATGAGAGTGGGTGCTTGCTCTCGAAGGAGATTTTTCCAGAAGATGTCCATTCTCTTTCCCGATCCTCCTTAAGTTTGAATCAAGTTTCTCGGAGCTGTCGTTTCCAAGTATCACCGCCGGCGAGGAAGGGAAAGCGTCCAATCAAGAAGCTGTTGGGCGTCAGTGGAAACTCGTCCTCAATTTCACTGCTGACATGAGTCAAGGAACGCGAATTGAGTAGGCCTTCTGTTTCAATCACGATGGTTCTAAACAAGTCCTAAGTGGGGCGGGCAGAACCAAGGTTGATCAAGAAAGCTCGTTTCACCATCGAAACGAGCCTTTCCCACACACCACCAAAATGATGGGTCGATGGTGGTTTCATTTTCCAATCGATATCGTGGTTTGCTATGACATTCCGTACGGATTCGCTGTCTATCTCAATCGGACTAGCCCTGATTTCTTTGCTTGTCCCAACAAAATAAATAGCATTGTCTGACAAGATTTTGAGCATTTCCTCTTTGAGCAATAAAACGACGAATGGTTGTAATGCACTTGTTGTTAGAGAGACACTCCGTAGTCTCGATGTATTGCTCGTGTCGTCAAACGTGTGAGCAAGCGTATGTCGTTTTTTTCTGTACTTGTTTTGTCTGCTATGAAGAAGGAACTGATACAGTCACTGCCAACGTTTCTGAAAGGAAGAGGGACGTTTTCAGGTTTCTCAAATCTGATTGCTGGTAAATCGACCATAATAGTTATCCTTACAGTCCCTTGAAACGTGCGACAGTAGAACTAACCTGTTCGGATTTGTTTCAGTGCTTCGCGAAGCCCTATCACAAGGTAGTTATATTGTACATAGTTGTGGACGTAATTCGTTCCGAGATGCATGCACCTGTTGTGGACGTGCTCCAGCATCAATAGAGTTGAGGGCTCTGTGGCATCAAGAATGATTGGAAACTTAGCACTGTCTCTCAGCTAAGAGTTGCAAAGACGACCTCGGGTTCGCGGAAAATTTCCTTCCAAGAATGGAGAAAAAAATCAGAAGCGTGCATTTTTATCCTAGCGGTTCATTTGCTCGTAATTTCTTTAAACCTTCAGGAAAAGACGTTTGCTGTGATTGAGCAAACGGCAACGCTTTAGGTTTTTCGGGATCATTGATTGTTGAGTTTCGTTTTTCTCGGGTTAGAAGTATAGAACAGAAATGCATTACGCGTGTTGCAACACGAAGAAAGCGAAACCAACCCGAGAAACGAGTAGAATCTAGCCGAGATTGAATAGGAAATGATTCAGTGGCTTTTGTAGCATTACTAAAGGAAGTGCAATAGTTTGTCATCAGAGGTTACAATAGGAATTCAGGCGGAGTTATCCAAAAGCGGTATACGTCTGAAAGGAGGATGCCACGGGTTCCATGATCTGCAGCCTTCATCTTACCTTGAATGTGGTCCCAATGATCCATTTTCGGCAAATCATTTGTGCGATTAGAACAGATTGATTTCTGTTTTGAGCAGGATTTCAGCCAGACCAGGACGCTTGTACTTTGTCCAGAAATGAATTTGCTGAAATTTGATCCTTGTTCCGCCCTCAACAAACTTATGAAGCCGGGCTTCAAGAAGAGGTGCCTGTAGGTTTAATTTTGGAATCTTCTCTTGTTTTAGAGGAGCTACTTTCATATGATCAATGACCAGCTTTGAGGTAGACGCAAGCCGCCATTGCGCTTTGGGAGGCGTCTACGAAAACATGCACTTGTAGAAACGAAAAGGAAGGGATTCTCAAGAAACGAGGAATTTTTATCAAATAACTTTTGCGACCTTGATTCAGTCTTTTTTTGATGACTGCTGTGTTTTGATCATTAATTTTGTCATCCCATGCCATTCCTAAACGCCAAAACTTTTGTTAATGATTTTGAAAATAATCAAAAAAGGCGCACAAAACCTAATGGATCGAATAGTGTTGCAATAGAAGACAAGACTTTACGCAGTGTCATGTTTGTAGCGTCATAATCGGATTGAACCTTCGCTTTTACAAATAGAATGTCTTTAGCACTGTCCCAATGAACACCTAGAACTCTTTGAGTTGTTTCTTCTTTGATTTTTTTAGTATCAGCAATCGATTGAAGAGCTTCAGAACTGCTTGAAACGATTTTGGTCAGATTGAAAACCACCTTTATGTAAACATGATTTAAGAGCTAAACTGTGGTTTCAGCTACTGTCGCAGACTGAAAAGAGTGGTCAAAAGCATCCATATAGAAGCTTTCATAGTCAGTTTCAAGATTTCAGGTTGATGTATGCAGAAATCTTTTCCTATCTGCTGCAAGGCGAAAATCGCAATAGAGGGAGAGCAGTTAGCACCAAATATCAGTCTTGTGTTTTGATATTGCTTTATACCGTTCTCTGACAGCCAGAGAAAGCGTAAGGCGTTTTGATTTTGTTCTTTCATTCCAATTTGCATGAACATGCCTTCTATGTCTGCCGAAAATGCTGAGGGGTTTTCTCTTAAGCGCAGCAAGATTTCGAACATATTGTAAAGGAGGTCAGGGCCTGACACAAGACATAAGTTTAATGATAAGCTTTTGAACTTGGAAGCTGCATTGGCAACGCGTCTTAGCTTCCTAGGCTTGTTCGGGTTGGTAACAGGATGATGAGGAAAGTACCGAACGTTTGCTGTGGAAACAAGAAGGTTACCAATTCAACGTAGCCTTTAGTCAATATCGGTGGTCAGCGATTTTCTACAAAGATCTAGCGTGACGGCGTTTTTCTCAAGTCGGCGCTGCAGCGAAATCAATTGCGCTTTAGCACTTACGTAGTTATTTGTTAGAGAGACGTTGTATTTCCTCAAGAGGTTGATATGATATCTAATTCCATCATAAAAGATTCTATTTTGCATTAGGTGGAGGAGCTTTTCAGTTAAAGTGCCGGGGAATGTTGGTTCTGAGCGAATACCCGACTCTTCAACTTCTCGAGAATTAACTGACTTGACTTGGAGCTGTCGGAGTATTTATTATCAATGAAGTTAATTAAGTGATGTGGATTTTTATCACGATAAACTTTCTGATTCATCGTGCCCATTATAGTCCAATCCAGCAAGTTCCGAATTGCGTAAGGTGTCCCAATTGGTCCCTTTCTGATGTCACGTTCGGCAATAAACTGAAAAGCATCCACTCCGAGTTAAACTTTAGCATTGTTGTCTTCGAAAGAAGGAAAGTTAACGTGGCTCAAATGGTTGAAATGAGCACATTTTTTGCTGAGCTGTCTTACCTTGACTATGTAAAACGACGGTTTATCAACAGAGTAAACACTTAGTAGCGTAAAAAGAGCACGGCCAGATTAAAAGCTTCCGATGCTCAAGTTCACCAGTGAAGTCCGCAGAGTAACCTTGGAAAAAGCGCATTGCACGTTCAACTCAATTGTCTGCTTTGGAATACATTGTAGCTCGTCTGCTGTTGCTTTGCTGATGTGCGAACAGCTGCTGCAATTGTCCAACGTTGCATAACACCTAATTAGTTTGTTTTTGTTAAATATAGTTACGGGCATAAACTGCAGTTGATTTTTAACGTAGCAGAGTGAGTTTCAACGCATCTTCAGTAAGTGCTTTTCAGATTTGCAGTCAAGCAATTTGTGACAATACAAACTGTTGAAGCAGAATGAAAGTCGTTTTACCGGCTCATTTTTTTTTATCAACTGAGAGTTTTAGGATCTCTGGGCAATGATCCAAATAGTGGCTTTGTTGCTCAATCGGGCAGACCAATTGAATCGAGTTGGTTTTCCGTTGAGTTGAAAGGTTTTGTTTCCTCTCTCTGATTCCAATCTTTGTTCTTTGAATTGATCTTTGAATTTAGATCCTCCGGAATGTAGGTTTTCAGGCTGAGACTAAGTTTTCACAAGCTTTAGCGTAATTTTTCAGCCGATCAGAGAAGTCGATAAAGATGGCGTATTCTATACCGTGAAGGTTGCAAAACTCCTCCCATTTCATAACAACACAGGGAGGAAGATTATTTCGAGCTATTCGTGAGAGGTTGCTCGACGCAAGATCTACTTCATAATTGTTTGCCTGGAAGTTATGAACAACCTTTCGTAGAAAGGCAGAATATTTCACGAAAGTATTTGGATTGCGCATATGAGGTCGTTCGAAATCCTCGAGTTGCTTGATGAAAGCTGATATTGTGAATTTGGGTTTTTCAAATTGTCTAGTAGTTCGGCAATTGCTTGGTTGTACTCACAGGAGTTTGTACCGATAATTTCAATTAAACATTTGGCGTCTCC